AATGTTCAGTCAGGTCATGTGGACAGGTCCTTTTATTGTTGAGACGTTTGACCCTCCAGCCGAAGGACAAAAAACAAGTTAAACACTCAGAAGGTCCAAGGTTCTGCTGAAGCCGACCAGCTTATTGAGTCTGATGTGTTCAGAGCAGGACGACGAGGCAGGGTCAGGGACCAGGACCAGGACCAGGACCAGGACTAGGACCAGGACCAGGACCAGGACCAGGACTAGGACTAGGACCAGGACCAGGACCTGGACCTGGACCAGGACCTGGAGACCATTTGATTCAGACTCCAGATGGATGAAACGGGCTCATTTTTTTAGAATCTAAGTTTTATCTGAAGGTTGAAAAGATTTCTGTCATTCATGATACAAAGAGACAACATCATTATTTTAGATGGATTCTGTGTGTCTGTGGGTGGGTGGAGGTGGGTGGTGGTGGGGGTGTTATGCTGTTCATATTCCAGTCATGTTTGTGTCACCTCCCAGCTGAGCTCTTCACCACAGATAATTACTCCCTCCTCCTCCTCCTCCCTCTGCACACCCTTCTATTTCCAACTATTAATATGATGATAAATAATTGCCAGTCTTCAGCCTCGATGCCGTCGTTTATTTTTTAAAATATATTTTACAGTATTGCTCGGATTTGCAAACTGTAGCCAGCCTTTGATACAGGAAGTTACGTTATGTAAGAAAAATGATAGATGGTAACACACACAGGCCGAAGATTTACAAACTCCAGCTCAGGAACAAGTTTGCTCTCGGAGGCAGATGGAGCCGAAAACTGAGACTGAAATAGAAAACAAAAAATGGAGAAGAAAAGCGGGATGAAGCAGAGAACAACCCTGTGGGCTTCAGCGTGCCGACACACAAACATCACGCCAGCACTCTGCAGAACAACCTGCGTTACACAACATGGACCCAGGCCAAGCAGTCGCCTTTTGTTTCTCAGGTTTTTCTCTTATCCAGAAATCTGAAGATAACTCTGCTTCCACGGACGCTGTGAGTGATGCCTTACAGAGCTCGATGCACTACAACATTTATACACATATAAAACTGAAAAAGGCTAAACGGACACTGCAGATACTTCTTAATGTACACCTGAGTATTCAGTCAGTTTTCTTTTTGTCAAGGTGGTCCTTGGACACACCATGAATGTTCAGGGTTATGTCTTATTACCATATTTTTCGGCCTATAAGTCACAGTTTTTTGCATAATTTGCATGCCCTGTGACTTATAGGCCGAAACAACGTATTTATGGATTTTTCCCCATATTTATAAACCAATTTTTGGCTGAGAAATGGCTGTTTTCATTCATTCTTACTGGACAAAAAAATCAGTACCATTTTCAGCCACTAGATGGCAGCAGAGTATTAGTAGCAGTATGGCATGCCGTTGTAATATTAATAGGTAATCGTGACTATAATGACAAATTCAAAAAAGTTCCAAGACAAAAATAACTGGACTTTATTTATTATAATTTACTTTATACTTTGTTTTTTTTCTCTTTGAACTTTTTTGAATTTACCATGTCCTGGATGACTGAGAATCTTCACCAGCTATTAATGACACAATCGGCTTGCCATATTCCCACCTTCGTTCTGCTCGCTGCTTGGAGCAAGTCAAACCAACTGCAGCGTCCCGGCGAAACGCAGCTAATTTGACCATTAAAGTGCATTTATTAAGCAAAAGTTCAACTGAGACACACCTTTGCTATAATTTCGAGCAAACAAATAATTATTTTTAGGTGGTTAACTTGTTAAATTTCGAAGAAACGAGCAGCACTCGTCCTTCTTTTTTTTACCTCCCTCTGCGCGCTCCCTGAGCACCGAGGCAGCGAATGCAGCTGATATGACCGTTAAAGTTCTTTTATTAAGCAAATGTTAGACTGAGACACACCTTTGCTATAATTTTGAGCAAACAAATAATTGTTTTTAAGTGTTAATTTTGTTAAATTCTTGAAGTCCTCCCATGCACACTACCGCGGCCGCCATTTGGCAGCCCATCGATTTTTGGCACAACACCGGCCCACATCTCCGAGTTGTCAGCGGTGATGCATAATAGATGCAACGTATACTGCGAAGCAACATATTTATGGATTTTTCCACTTGTTTAGACATATTTGGACTGATGCAATTTATAAGCCGGTGGAACAGGTACGGTAGAAATTACGGTAATTTATCCAACATCCCACACAAGAATTGAGATGTTTTCTGTATTTATGAGTTCATATTATGCAAAAATCACAGCACTGACTGGTAGCACAGAAAGAATTAAAAAAGTAAAAATAAGCTTGAAGTGAATCAGGTTTTCACAAACACACACAAGTAAAAACGGCAGCTGTGGAAGCATTAAGGGGTCGTGCAACCTTCTAAATTTACATGTATTTTCTAACAAGCCGTGCAAGATGCTGTTTGAAGTCTGTTTTTCCTGAAACCTCATCGTGACATTACTGAATCATCTATGTTTGCCTCTGAATGTGAGCACTCGGGTGTGATTTTTAGTATTTTTTACCATCTGTTGGTGAACAATCTCGTGGTTTTGGTGATCCTCTACCCGCACTCGTCCTCGTCGACAGTCGCAAGCTGTTGGTTCTGTCCAAGTTCTGCTGAATCACACCGAATGTGAAGCTGTCACTGCACAACATCGCGGATAGGTCAGCCAATGAATAAATCACACGATCACATTACTCCCCGCGAGGCAACATTTTCTCACATTAGGAGGGAAGCTGGGAAGTCTGGGAGCTCAGTGGAGGATTGTACCGAGGCGCCTTCCATTTATTGAAAGGTGATCTTGATAGACAGAAAAGACACAAACTCATCCAACACTGTGTCCTTTACGTGTGTTTACCACCATCTGAGCAAATACAAAGTATTTACTTTAAATGTCAGGAAATGGAAGATTGTTGTGTGTAAAATGTCAGGAGTCCTCCAGTATATTACTGACGGCAGTCCTGCTGCAGGACTCAGCGTCTTCATGGCTGCACTCTGGTTAAAAACACTCCAAACTTATTGTCAAACCAGCTGCAAGGGAAACTCCTGGCTGATTAGCTCTCAGCCTAATAAACAGTTGAGCTGCATTCATTCATAAACAGAAACAAAGGATTTCTGGAGCTCGGTGAGTTAAATGAGCCTCGATTCAAACTGGACTTGGGGACTGCCACCTGAAAAGGGTCTTGCTCTTCTATCAACTTTAATGCAGCCTGAACCGCAATGTGAACCCCCACAAATTTTACATCAAAATGACTGCCTCGGCACTGTGATGTGTGCTATACTTTTATTGGTGTTTTGAGTTACCATGGTGACGTAATTTGTAAACAAATACACACTTTTTCTCATTCAAAATGTCTGATGGAAGTTCTAACAGCCTCTGCCACAGCGAGGTCACATGACCAGAGGAAAGAGGTCTCTGAACAAAACACTGAATAGTTTTGGGAACCATTTTGGTGCAACATGGCTGCCACAGCTACCTCAGAAAACTCAAATTTGAATATAACTCAATTGATTTATTGAGCTGAAATTTGGTTTGGACGTAGCTGAGAATGTTCCCCATCACTTACTGAATCCTCATCAAGGAAGGAAGAATGCTGCACATTTCTTCTAAATTTAACAAGATAAGCACCTAAAACAATTGTTTGCTCAACATTATAGTAAAGGTGTGTCGCAGTTGAACTTTTACTTAATAAATGCACTTTAATGATCAAATTAGCTGCATTTCCCTGGGGCAGCGCAGCGAAATTTCATTTAGCCTTTATTTATCCAGGTTAGTCTCATTGAGCCACGAGAACTCATTTTCAAGAGAGACCTGTTTTTTAGGGAGCACCTTGATTTGAGGTTTGCTCCAGGCGAGCTCACTATAGCAAGCCGATTGTGTCAGTAAGAGCCACTTTTACCTATTACATGACGTGATGGCAAGCCATACAACTGGACTGCCATCTAGCGGCTGAAAATGGTAGTGTTCAATATTTTTAATGTCAGAATGAATGAAAACGGTCATATCTCAGCCAAAAATTGGTTTATAAATATGGATAATAATAAAAAAATAATTTGCTTCAGTGCATAAGTTGCAGGGCATGTAAATTATGCAAAAAACTGCGACTTATAGGCCAAAAAATATGGTAACCTTTTTATTTCTGTTTTGGGGATATGTTTTTATTTTATTTAGAATTTGTAGTAATACTTTTATTTTTTCTCACATTACACTGAATAAACATCAATTTCAAGATGTTTATATTTATAAAACAAAACCTTTTTTTGTCTCTCCTCTCTCTTTACTCACCAACACGTGTGGGTATACAAAGTGTGAGTGCTGAATTAAATTTAGTAACGTTTAACAGCAAAATGAGGCACGAACTGTTTAGATGCAAACATTTACAACCTGATAAAAATAAAAGCATATTTCTAAAGAGCTGATTGTTAAAAATAAAAATAAAAATGTGGCACTAGTATTTTTACAGTACCTCAGCTCCATCCAGGACTGTCTCGTTCAAATTAAACATCTGCAGCGACCCTGATCAAGCTTCATTTACACCCAGAACACAAGACAGGAGAATGTTGGTTTAGTATCTCACATCCTGTTTTATTGTTCAAACATGGCAGGACGAGATTTACAACACGCAGTACAAAGATCGCACCCACACAGCTCAACATACGTGTGGAGATGCACACGGAAAGACAAACAGGGCAGGCTAGTTTGTACAGACGCTCCAACAGCCGGCGTCAAACGCTGTCATGGGTTATCCAGATAGACACACACACACTCATGGACGTCCAGAGACAACACACAGGCCGACAGGACAAACTGTGGATTAAAGGGGATTTTTCATGGAGATTAAGGATCTGGTGACAGTAAAAGATCAAACTGAAAAGTCTTTAAAATCCACCTTAAGACAAGTTTCTGTGCTGCGTGAGTGACGGCTCCAAACAGATTTCACAGGGACTGAACTGTTCGTCTCGGAACGAGTGAAACACTAAATGTCTTACGGTGGACATTTTCCCACACAGGAGCCCAAAGCTTGAGCGACAGGTTGACATTTAAGAGACCGCGGCAGATCCCCAAAGTGAAGGAGGCTTTTATTGCCCCCACACGGGCTAAACGTGTCGCCGGTGCCTCGTCACGCCGAGCACCGAACGGCAAAACAAGAACGACACTTTTGTTTCAGAGACGGAAGGCCGCTTTCAGTGAAGGTGAGTCGAGTTAACAGCAAACAGTTCTGAGAACTAGTAAAAATAAAAACAGTTGTGCTTTCAGGGTCGTCAAAAATATAAACAGATATTTTATCATTAAAAAAAAAATAAAAAAAAAATCCAACATTCTGTTTTTTGTTTTAACATAAATTCATTTTTACTAACTAGGAATATAGCCTGCTTTAACAGCAAAGCAAATAATTAAAAAATAATCACATTTATATCATTGTTGTACCATCAGCTGACAACCTCATGTCCAAGACGTTAAAAACAAAAAGAAATCTGCAATGATTTTAAACTTTTTGTACGATGCACTTCCTCTTGTTCCAAACCTGACGATGGTGAGTTTAACTGCTTCGCTTCAACCAAAACTACAGGACCAAAGCAACACCTCGTGATCAGAGCACTTCCAAACTCTGTGAATCTAAATGACAAATAAAGAATTAATCACTAAAAAAACAACATTTGGGATCAACGGTTTGAAAAGCAAAAGCATTTTAAAAAAGCGCAGGAAAGCGAGCGACAAAACAAACTCGTGTCAGTTTTGGCACGGATCAAGTTCTCGGCGACTTTCTGAGTAAGTTTATTGTTTCGAAGCGTTCTCAGTTTGCTGCCCCAGCTAAAGTTAGTGTTTTTGGTGTAATTAATCTGAAGCCTAGACTGAAGGAGCATTTTTTTAAAAATTCTTATTGTCTCAGAGAGGGCCAAACTCCATTAACAACACTGTTAGACAGCAGCTAAGGATCAGCTGACGGAGGGTTTATCTGCAGCTGCTAATTGGGAACATCTGAAACGTGTGATAAAAATGCTGGAAGTAAAAGGAAATCCTTATCAGCCAAACACAGGCAGATGAAGTAAAACCAACACAGAGCAGAGTCCAACATCCTGAACTTGGAAGAACCCGGTGGGTTAAAACAGTCAGAGCAGATCGGGCCGTCGGCTGATGATAAGAACAGAACTGAATCTCAAACAGAGGAAGAAAACCCGCTCCTCACCTACAACGATTTATTACAGATTGTTTAAGTGCAGGTGACGGTGAAACAAACTTTCTACAAAATATAATCATTATTCTAAACGGGCAGTTTGTGTTTGCCTGTGTAAAAATATATCCCGTCGTTGCTGTTGGATGTTTCACAGCGGAGTAAGCAGCCGAATGTTGAGCTACGATCGATTAAGGAGCTTTTTGTTCGGCTCAGGTGGAGCGTTGGTCGGAGCGCGAGGCTGGGTGGAGCTGGTCGGCTGGGTGGAGCTGGTCGGCTAATGGGGCCGACTGTTCGGATCTGATTCAGCCTCTGAGCGCAGATCTTCTCTCCTGGGCCGTCAGGCTTGGTTGATGTTTTCTAAGCTGCTGGATTTTTCCAGTCCATGCGCCCCCGTTCGATGACATCACTTCCTGTTGTCTGTGGAGGAGTTGGCTGTAGTGTCTGTCTTTGTAGAGGTGTCCTCGGTGTTTCCGGGGGGCTGCACCGTTGCCGCGTTAGGCCTGCCCCCGTTTTGAAGTGTTTCCTGTTTGTATTGTTGCAGGGCGCGATTGACAGCATCCTCAACCAATCGCCTGCTGACCCTCAGAAGCTCCGCCTCATCGGGCTCAGAAATGCGACGCCCACCTGAGGAAAAACAAATAAAAGATGCGATAAAAGTGCTGCAGCGGCAACGTGGACACAAACTTTAATTTAAAAGTTAATTTTGGTCCCAACAATGATCAGAGACGTTGTCAGCTGCCACAGGAATCAGAACCAGCAACACTAACACTGACAGAATCCAACAAACCAACTCAACAGACAAACCTAAAAACTAAAGTTCACAACAGAACTGGAACGCATTTTTCACACAAAAGCCACCATTTGCTGTACTTTTTCCCCCCCCCCCCGACTTGCTCTCGACAAAGACGGACACTTTCTTTTCCCTTTCCTGCCTCCCTTCTGCTTTTGCTCTTGTCTTGTGAATCTTTCTCAGTGCCTCTCTTTACACATCTTCTGTATCATAAATTATGGATCTGATCAGCTGGTCTCTCAACGCAATTGATAAAAAATTTTCATGACGAGAAGACAGGGTTCAGGAGAACCCTCATGCCCTGAAGGGACACACGACACATACATAATTGGATTACAACAACAGGATTATCTTCTTTTTGGAATCGGTGGGTACCTGGGATATCGACAAATTAGGAAGACATCTGCAGCAGTTTTTGGCAATGGTGAGTCTGCTTGCCTATGTGAAGGATTGTACCGTGCATCAAGCGCCCAGACTCAGATGCTTTGCGAGCCCGGAACTCGCTGGCATGAAGGAATCAACCTTGGAAAAGGTTACAAGCACGGACCGACAGAATGACCACAAATCTGGCTGTTTGGATTTGCCACTGAGTGTACCAGCAGAAACTATGAAATCAGTAGAGTTGGACTTTCCCAAAACAATTGTTTATCTGAATATGGCTTCTCCGCTTGGCCTTGGATAGACCAACTTATCTCACATGGCTTCTGGAGGGTAAGTGAATCACGAAGCTCTGCTCCTGCCCCCATCCCCCCGAAAACATCTGTGGACCCTTATCAGAGCTGAGCCGACTGATAGACACTGTACCATCTAATTAGGACTACGGAACTTTCTGGCAGTGTTCAAGTGTTCACGGACAATCTCACAGTGTGAGAGACCTTTTTTAAACATTATTTCTTCATGTTTCTCGTCCCTTTTCTCATCTAAATGATAAGGGCAGCGCTTCACAATGAAGCTGCAGCCCCCGTGCACCTCCGTCTACCCTCGACTTTGGACGGCTGCACTGAAATTTATTTTCGCTGTGCCTAACTGCGCAATGACAATAAAGTTGGTTCTGATTCCGAAACAATTAAAGGCCTAAAATTCCTGGCAGGAATACATATCGCCCAGTTAGTTGGCTTTGGCGGCCATCTTGAACTGAGTTTGCTCTAACAGGTTGTAGATGAACATCCATTGACTACTGTCTACAAGCTTTAGTAAAATGTGTTCAGTGGATCATGACAGATATAAACACATAAAACACTATGGCCCAGAATAAAAAAAATAATTATGTGAGCTGGAGCCCACTTAGCATCTTTGTAGGATTATAGTTAACTCTAAGTACAGTCTGAGTTATTCAAAAAACATAGAAAATGCATTTAATATCATCAAACAAATTAGTGGCACCATGCGACATTGCTGATGATGCTTCGGCTCAGTCTTATGGTCTCATCTCATTTCCCTCATTTAACCAGATTTAAAACCTCATTTAGATCAAGATCTCATTTGCAAGAGGGACCTGGGCAAAGAGTAAACATAGCACACAGTAAGAGTTCGATAAGTCACAAGCATAATAAAATGACAAACATTTGAACAACTTAAACAATCATTACAGGAAGAAACTCTTAAGAAAAAGTAACATTATTGAAAAAGACTGGTACTGATTAATGGACTCATGTTGCTTATTGTTAAGAAATGTCTGAAATAATTTGAAATATATGAGATCTGATATTTGGAGTTCAGACTGGAGTTTGACTTTAGAGATGAAATATCTGGTTTTCTTGGTTAATCATGCGCTCGACTATAATCCTACAAAATCCCTGGATATATGTATTTAGAACTGATATTGATGCAGTTTTGGTTTGATTTACATTTTTCTTCTGTTAGCTCACTTCACTTGGAAATGCAGACACTCTGTATCTGGAGTGACAACCAGGATCTGTATTGGACCAATCTTCTCATGGGTGTATGTCAAAATACGTGACCCGTTGTCACCTTCAAACTGGATAAAGTTTGGAAAGTGAACAGCTCAGCTCTCAGAAAATAAAATCTCCAAAGTTATGAAATGTTTGGACAGGAACTGTGCCTGAAGTCATACTGGGTTAAAACAAGGAGAATGTTTTTCTGGGAACAGCAGCTCGGGACAAAAGATGAAAATTATTGACAAAAATTTACCGGACTGCGGCTACAAGGTCGTCTGCAGAGCTAAAGCAACATTTTATTAATCCAGAATGAAGGAGCAGTTTGTTGATCCAGAGTTAGAGCTGCCATGCTCAACGTTTCCTTCCCAACATTGTGCAAAGACCACAAGATTACTGACAGCTCAATGAGAAAATGTCTGTTTAAAATCAACTTTTTTAATTTTTTTTAAGCTAAGAATGAATTCATAGTTGGAGGACACCAAAAATAGCTTATTTTTGTTTTATCCATTTAGAGATTTAGTTACCTATAAAGAGAATTGGCATCATCTGTTAGCTGTAAGTACAAGTTCATTATCATCGGACATTTTTCAAAGCAGAGCCGTGCCTCAAACTCTGCCCCCAAAATACAACAAGTGCACAAAAAGAGAGCTCTGAATGTGCACTGGTCCAAAAACCTCCACTGACACTTCTAATTTTCCCTTTTCAATGCATCATTTTTTAGTATTTAGGTCAAAAACAGTCTTTCCTTATTAGAAGAAGGCTTTGCGCAAAGAGTGGGGGGATTTAAAGACCACTCTGAGTCAACGTGCTACATAAACACTGTGCATGCATCAAAAGCAGCACCAAATGAGTGGTCAAACAAAATAATCTACAATAGACTTTAAATACATAAAATAAAATTAAAAAAAGAAAAAAATCATCGCATGCACGCTGCGATTACCAGCTACTTTAAAAGGTCATAGACAAAAACTGCAACTTTTCAAGGTTCAAGGTTCTTTGTCATTCGAATCGTATGTGGTACATGAGGTGGACTGAAATTGTGTACTCAGGGTCCCAGTTACACCCAAGAATAGCAAAAATATAAAATATAAAAAGAAACAGTAAATAAGGATCTAAGATATACGCTAAACACTAATAATGTAAAATAATATGATACAATAGACAAGTCAATTGGTGCATCTGGACAGCAAAGCTGCTGCAGCACGGAGGAGAAATGCAGCAGGGAGCTTCCCCCTGCACCTGTGGGCTGCACACAGGTGCTAAATCACTTAAAATAATTTATTTTAAAAAATCCATGGCTCATCCATGTTTCAGCCAATTGTGTCATGTCCAATTTTACTTTGAAAAACCGTGATAGAGCGAGTCCGTGAAAAACAAACTGCGAAGTAGCGAAGGACTACTGAGTATTAAACAGCAGCCCGAACATGAGTTTGTAGTGAGTAGATGGGTATGAATGAATATAGCAGCATGAGATAATCAGCAGCAGAGATAAGTCACACAATTAAAGTGGCATTAGTGGTTTTTTTTCTTACAGTGATTATCCTGGTTAAGGATTCATGAGACTAACAGCTTCAGGGTAGTTTTAACTTTGCTTTAGAAAAATAAAGTATGATGGTCTCAATGAGAGGCGTGAAGGACATTTCTGAGACTGATCCTCAGAAACACTGTTCTTCTATCAGGACTGTACGCACACAAAAGATTTCCAGATGATCAAAAATAAAAGAACGGTGGCCACCTGACAAACCTCTCTGACCAAGTGATCAGCTGGTGGAGACGGGATCCAAAAAAAAACAGAGTACAAGCAAGGCAGTACATGCTAATTTACATTTTTTATTGGCTTTACATTTAATATGGTTCTGGTCTAAGGGTGGGGTCATGATGGGGTTCTGACAAACATCCTGCGGTCCCCCTGGACTGCATGCAGCTGCAGCTCACCCTACTTTTCAGGAGTTGAGTGAAAAAGAAGCGACGGCAGCCGAAGATGAGCAGGAGGCTCCACCGTTACAAAACCAGCACGACGGCTCGTCTGACAGTGAAAAGCTTTCAGAGGCATGAGCGTTGAGCAGAGCTCGACTCGGTGACTGCTGCGCTGTGAAGGCAGTTCCAACGAAACAAAAGGAAAACCAAGCACGACACCCGCAAAGATGCATCTTTCAACAAATGGAGGGATGTCTTTTAGTTTTTTTTTTTTTTACCTTTCTTTGCCTGAGATTTGTGACTCCGGCTTTGATTTATTGTTTCGTGAGTTCTGTTTCAGGTCCGGACTGGTTTGGAGAACAAAAAGAAAAGAAGGAAGTTGAGTAAAGGTGTTGATTTAAGGGTCTTTCCTTGTTTTTGTACTATTGGTGCTTAGTGTATTCTTAGCTCATATCTTACATCTTATTACTGTGTTTCTTTACAATTTATACTTTTGTTGGCTGTAACTGGGACCCTGTGTACACAATTTCGTTCCACCACATGTACCACATGTGGTACGAATGACAATAAAGAAACCTTGACCTTGAACCCTTTAAGGTATTTTTTTCAACCTTTAGATTTAAAATCCAACACAGGAGATCTGAAGCACTGAGTTCAGATAAACTACAAATCACTTGAGAGAAATTTTATTCAGGTCTTAAAATCCCAGAAGTTTTTTTTGTTAAAGCCACAAGAGCTGCCAAAATGTGTGATTTTTCAATGTTAATGATCTGAACTTCCTGTTTCTACATCATCAAAATATTGTTTAGTGTTAATGTAACTCAAACTCATAAGGGATTTAGTCAAAAGAATAAATAAAAAGTGTTAGAAAACAAATATCTCTTGCCTTCGTTTAGAGCTAAATTTAGCGACCAGTTACAGAAATATTCCCATTAACAGTTCCGAACATCTCGGGAGAGTTTTGCTTTCACGCTCTCCACTGCTGGATTTCCTCCATAAAATGACTCGGCTTCTGTCCA